AAAAAAAAAAAAAGGTAGTGATCAAAAGAGTAGACCCCCGAGCCAAGCAGGCTTTCCATGCCTCCGGTAAGCTTTACACTTGATCTTAGCCAAAAGGCCGAGAAGTGATTGCCTTAGGTAAGCTTTAAACAGCTCTTTGTAAGTGTTAAGCTTTTAAGCCTCAATTTTCTCATGTGTAAAATGGGGATAATTGTTGTGAGGATCAAATGAGAGGTTCCTGGCACAGGTAAACTCAGTAAACCTTATAGTAAATGTGAGCTGTTATCACTGTCTCTGCTCTAGCACCAGAGCTGAGAGTCCTAAAGAAGCTCAGGGCTTCCTTGCTTTGATTTTCCCTTTTGCTACACCCGTGGGTGCCACCGGGCACCATTATCTCTCTCTCTCTCTCTTTTGAGTGTGTGGCTGTCTCCCTTTTTTGCTACAGGGAGGAAAGGAGATTGTCCCAGGGCTGTTCGGAAACAATCCTGTTTCCAAAGGTGCGTCACTGATGAGACTTGTCCAGGTAGAAAGAAATGCTGCGCGTTTGGCTGCAACAAGAGCTGTGTGGTCCCAGTCTCTCAACCAAAGCTGGGTAAGAAGCACTACCTCGGGCCCCATGGGCTCTTTGGGGGCCTGCTTGTTTCTTTCTCAAGTAAGCCCATACCATCTTATTGCTGGTTTTACTTTACTTTGAAAAACAATAATTAAGTGCCTGCCATGTTCTGAGAACTTTTCTAAAAAAAAGATAGACGAAGGGTTACCAGCCATGGTGATCTGTGGTATGTGGTCCAGGCAGGCAGAGGAGGCTGCCAGAATGGAAATCTTGGCGTGTCCTTATTGGCAGGCAGATTTGAAAGCTGTTGGCGAATTCTCAATTCCCCTTGTCAGTTGCAGTCTTCTCTATTAATTCTTAGCTCGAGAATCTGCAGGGAGACAGCAAGATAGAATCTCGGTACCTATGCAAGGCAGCAAGCGTTTCCCTGCTCACTTGCTTCTGAGGCCTTATGTCCCCTCTGTCCGCACCTAGGATGGCCATCTCCTACTGGAAATGTGCCCTGTTTTATTCTGGTTCTGGTAGAGAGGTGTTTGAAAGAGATTTCTCCTACCTTTTGCAGGATTCTCATGCCCCAAATTCTCCGTTTACACATTATGTCTTCACCAATTATTTGTTGAATGTTTGTTGTTTCCTAGATCTAGCATGGGCTCCGGGTATATTGTGGTTAACAAAGGGGCTCCCATCCCGGCCTTCTTGGAGCTCGTGGTCTGTTGCGGGAGAAAGAGGTTTCCCAGATGAGCAGGTGAACATACACTTTCCAACTGTGAGAAGGATATGGAGGAAAACTAATGGGTGCTGAGAGATAGAAAGAGGGGGTGCTGGCTTTGGACTGGGTGGTCAAGGGAGGCCTGTCTGGGGCAGTGACATTTCACCTGGAGTTGAGGTTAGCCAGGCGAAGGGTGTGATGAGCATCCCAGGAAGAGGAAGAAGCAAGTGCAAAGGTCTCCAGATGAGGAGGAGCTTTGCCACATTAGAGAAATGGAAAGAAAGCTGGTACGGTTGGAGTAGAGACAGGGAGGGACCGGATGCTTCTTGCTGAGGATGGAGTCCAGTCAGATCAGGGGGTTGGCAGGAAAGGTGACACAGTGGAGAGAATTTGGAGGTCAGGAGGTGGAAGTGACAGAACTTTCTGCTCGATTGCTTGCCTCCTCCTTCGTTCCCTGAGAGGCCCTCCCCCTCCCTCTGCCTCCGCCAAAGGTATTAGGAATTGATGATGTGTCTGTCTCCTGTGTCTAGCCCCTTCTCATTTCTCTCTTGTTTCCAGATTTTTATGGTTAATTTTGCTTGTTTGTGCTTCCAAATATATTTTATTATCATACTGTCTATCACTCCCCCCCCCAATACAGAGGCTATTTTTATTGGAGAGGTGTTAGATGTATACATTAATTTAGGGACAGCTGATATTTTTATGTTGAATCTTTGTCTTCCCACTGTCCAAGTGTATTTGGTGTGTTTCAGGGTATTTTATAGTTTTAAAATACCGTTTGATAGGGTAATGCCCAAGATACTTTATTATCTTCTTTGTTGTCTTAAATGGGGTCTTACATCATTCCTCCCATTATGTTTTCTGAAGAAACGAACCATTCTCGCCTCTGAGTGCATGTGGCAGAATATTACAGTAGGAAAGAGTAGGTTTTGGTTGTCAGAGAGCCGGGTTCAAACCTGAAGGCTCACCAGTTACTGGCCAGCGTGTCCTTGGTCAAGTGTCTTCTGCTTCCCCGAGCCTCAGTTCCCTTCTCTATAAAATGGAAAGAAAAGCCTCAGAGGTTGTTGCAATGATTCAAAGTATGTAAGGTGTTTAGTAATACATTACACATTAGCTTCCTTCCTCTCGCCTACTAAGGCGGGCTTCATCAGGAGTACAGTTTCTAACCAACTCCTTTTGTCGCGAATCAGGATTGCTTTCTCCTCCCCTGATCACTCCCTCTCTGAGACCCTGAAACTCCACAACATGTGACAGTCTCTTTCCTTCTGGCCAAACCTCCCCAGGCGGTGGGCCCCTTCCCTGTAACCCAGTGGGGCTGTGTCTGGCTTAGGCAGATCTTTTGGGCGCCCTGCCCATAAAAGAGAATAGAGCGTTGTACTCCTTGCCAGGACTCTTGAGGCCCAGCTCTGGACACAGAGCCTGGGAATCTGTGTTAGGCGGGTCACTCCCTGCCAGCCGGTAGGGCCCAGCACAATCTTCCCAGTGTGTGAAGCTGATGGCTGAATTACGGGGGCCGAGGGTGAGGCTGGCACCCAGGCAAGGCACTTTGTGAGCTGCTCTGGGGCCTGGCCAGCCCTGATGGGGATTCCTCTTCCCTTCGAGCCAGGCAGGCTGCAGTAGTGATCCCCCTGAAGAACTCCCAGAGTGCACTGGCCGAGTGGGGTTCCTAGACTGGCCGGCAGCGATCCTGGTTGCTGTGTCCATAGTTCATGACTTTTCTATAGCTTCAGTCCTGCACTGGCCCACTCACCCAATGGGACTGGTTGCTATACTCAAGGTCACAGGAAGCCGTCTGTCTTGGGCTCTGGGTGGTTCCTGCTTTCCCTCAGTTCTGACATTGCCAGAGGTTTACCATCGTCAGTGCTGGTCTGTTTGGTACAGTGGAGGGACAGTCAAGCCTCCAGAGGGTTCAGGGCAGACTCTGGGACCTGCTCCCCTCAGGCAGTTCTCGTCTGCACCTGCATCTGAGTCTTGGCTTCTCTGCTTTCTGTGTGGCCTCGGGCAAGTCCTTTCATCTCTCTGAACCTCACCTCTTTCATCTGTAAAAGTGGAGATGAGGAAGTTTACCTCAAAGTGTGGTAATGTAGTGTCTTAGTCCTTTGGGCTGCGCTAACAGAGTGTCACGGGCTGAGTAGCTTATAAATGACAGCAATTAATTTCTTATGATTCTGGGGGCTGAGAAGTCCAAGATTAAGGTGCCAGCGTAGTCAGTGTCTGGTGTGGGCCAGCTTCCCGGTTTACACACTGCTGTGTTTTCACCGTGACCTCACATGGCGGAAGGGCAATACGGGCATCATCCCATTCATGGGGGCTCCCCTCTCCTGACCTCATCACCTCCCGAAGGCCCCATCTCCTAAAACCATCACATTGCGGGTTAGATTTCAAGATACGAATTTTAGGGGAATACGAACATTCAGTCTGTATCATACAGTTTGGAAGAAATGTATTTAAAAAGCCGGAACAAAACCTACCAAATAATGCTTAACAGCTCAGACTTGATGCCAGTGCCTCCCTGTTCAGCTTTCCACCTGTCTGAAGTCTGGCCTGTTTGCTCACTCACTTATTTGCTCATTGGAAGTACAGAAGTGTGGAAGGAGAGTCCTGGTCCAGTTTTCATTTAAAAAAATTATTTTTTAGACAAAGCATGCACATGGGCAGGGGAGGGGCAGAGGGAGGGAGGGGGGAGAGAGAGAGAGAGAGAGAAAATCCTGAGCAGGTTCCATGCTCAGAGCACAGCCTGATGGGGAACTCCATCCTACGACCCTGGGATCATGACCTGAGCTAAAATTGAGTCGGATGCTCAACCAACTTAGCCACTCAGATGTCCCCGGTTTTCATTTTAAAATCACCACCCTGCTGGTGTATGAAGAATGGATGGGGGCAAATGTAGCAGATGGCAGGCCAGTTAAGAGGCTGTTGTGGCAGGCTGGGGGAGAGGTGAGCACGGTTTAGACCAGGGTGGTGACGGTGTGGACGTGGGAAACTGGCAGGCTTGGAGTACTTTTCAAGGTCGAGTTGACAGGTGAAGAAGTAAGTGGATGTGGGTGCTGAGGGAGAGGAAGTGTCAAGAACAGTGCTTAGGTATGTGGCTTGAATAAGTTGAGTGATGGGAGCACTTGGGGAGGAAGAGGTATTGGAGCAAAGATTCAGATTATGGTCTAAGAGTTGTCTCCTTTGGATCCCTCATGGTCCCCTCTCTCACACCATGAAACGTGATCACTCTCCATCACCTGTGACCACTGGTTTGCTTATTACAACATGTGTATTATATCCTTTGGACAGATGGGTGGCATGGGCTCCCTGTGTGCTCGGATGACCTTTTCCTGAAACCTCACTGCTGGTTGTTGAGAAAAGAGTTAATGTAGCAGGCCTGAGATTGATGTTCTTAGAAAGGCCTGCCTGTAACATTGGCCCTGGCTGGCTTCTGGGAAGTTAGATTTTTGAGAGTGTTCCTACCACCGTAACTGGTAAGAGTCATATCTGCTAGGCAGAGAGTGCCCCGTAAAAACCCTGAGTCTCTCGTGAGCATTCCTGGGAGACAACACTTCACATGTGTTTTCATGTGTCATGTGATTCCACCGGAAGAAGACTGTTGGTGCTTGGTTTCTTCTGGGCTTTGCCTCATGCACCTTTTCCCTTAGATGATTTTGCTTTGTATCCTTCTGCTGTAATAAATCATGGCCATGAGTCCAACTGTACTCTGAGTCTTGTGAATCCTAGCAAATCACCCAGCCTAGGAGTTGTCTTTGAGACTCCCAACACACTGGTTTATTGATACATTTTCCTAATCCCTAAAACTTTCTACCACTAGGTCTTCTCTTTTGTCAGAATTGAGCTAAGCAAGTCCTAGCTCTTATTGATTCATTTTTGGGTAATCCTCGTGGAATGTAGGGAGTCATAATGATGTGGTTTAAAGGGCACTGGATCTAGTGTCAGGGCTGGGAATTTGGGACCCAATTCTGCCACCATTGACCTCAGGCCAATCCTGCCCCCTCTTCCTGGATGTCTGTCTGTCTGTTTGCAAGAGAAGTAGGTTTGATAGCTCTGAGGGCCTGTCTTGGCTTAAGAAGTTTTGAGGTTTTACTTTTCTGCCAGCACCTGGTGTCCTTCCCTCAGATATAGTGGAAGGTTGGAGCTGGGGCAGCAGTAAAGCCTATGTCCGAGTATTTCCTGGGCTTCATTTTTTTATTCCACTTTTTTTTGGTGATAGCTTGGGGTCTTGGGATAGAGAGATATTTGCAGGGTGGGGATGACCATTCCCATCCTGACTCTCTTCCCTATTTCTCATCCTGGTTCCTGGTAAGATAACTGTGAGGTGCCTAGAAACCATGCGGTATGAGGAACTGAGCTTACCTAGTCTGGGAAAGCTGAGATGGTGAAGGGCAGAGGATCCTATCTAAGGGGGATGGCACAAGCCATGTTTTCCTCAGGTCTCTGGGGATAGGACAAGGGCCAATGGATAGAACTTCTAGAAAGCCAGATTTCAGTTGAGTATAAAGTACAAGGATGGGATAGTCCGGCTTGGAGGTCGTGACACCCCTTTCCGGTGTTTGAGCTGAGAGTAGGGAATTATTGGTAGGGATTTAGGCATCAGACATGGGGGCCCATGCTGGGCCCTGGTCAAAGGGCATATGTTCTGACCCTCAGGGCTTTAGCCTGTTCCCCAAGAGTCCATTCAATGCTTCTGGTATTTGACAAAACCCCAGGGACCTCAAGGAAGCCTGTCGTGGAAGAGAGTAGAGGTTTGTTCTCAATGCCTGGTCCCGGGGATGAGGGCAGAAAGTGCAGAGTGCTCCTGGCATTGGTCACTTTGGGGCCAAGCTCAGCAAAGTGGTGAAATCTGGGAAGGGTGCTGCTCAGTATAATTCCGTGAGGAGTTATGTTGCTAGGTTTTTCTCACCAGGAAGATTGGTTTTATGCCCAGCCTTCTTAACTGTGGATGAAAGGCTTTGTTCTTTGTTAAATAGATTTTTAGTGTTTGTCAAACAGGAGGGGAGGTGTGGGGGGGTACATCGGCAGTTACAGTGGCCCTATTTTCTGGATAAAAAATCAGGTTTGAAGGGCGCCTGGATGGCTCATTTGGTTGAGTGTCTGACTTCGGCTCAGGTCAGGATCTCACAGTTTATGGGTTCGAGTCCCCACATCAGGCTCTGTGCTGACAGCTCGGAAACTGGAGCCTGCTTTGGAGTCTGTGTCTCCCTCTCTCTCTGTCCCCTCCCCGCTTGTGCTCTCTCTCTCTCTCTCTCTCTTTCAAAAATGAATAAAATTTTTTAAAAATCAGGTTTGATGTGATGTGCCATTGGCCTAGAATCTTTGAAAGGGGGGCTGTTCAGGAAAATCCTGGGATGCAGGGTTATTAGACTTTGATTGTTCAGCTGCACGTGTTCTTGGAGTCCAGCACTTGCTTTTTCCATCACGGCAGACTTCCCGGCAGCCATATGCATTTGTACTCACATGTTCTTACTCAAAGGTCCTGGGCCGGTCCTGCTTTGGTTTTCTACAATGCTTTTAATTGCCTGCCACTTCTTTTCTCCATTTCAAAAACTTGAAACAAACACTGGGATGAATGAATCATGGTGAATCAGTTTGTTTTGGGTGTGACTTCTTAGGGAGTGCCTGCTCCAGAGGACCTGGCCTGGTGCCTGCGTGTTTTAAGGATGGTGTAGTAGAAAGAGTGCTTCCTTGCAAACCAAGAGGCTGAGTTGTGTCCTGCTTTGCCGCTGACTCACTCTGTAGTTCTGGGCAAACCCCTTCACTTCTCTGAGCGTCATGATCTTCATAGGGGTGGTGAAGGGGCGCATCAGGGATGTTTGGCTGTGTGCAACAGAAAATTAACGGAGTCGGTATAACATTTTTCTCATATAGCGAAAGGTCCTGAGGCAGGTACCAGGGCTGGTGTGGTGGCTCCATGATGCTAACAAGGATGAGGTTATTTTTTTCTTTCTCCTTTGCATTCCCTGACTTTGTCCTCATAGTAGTTGCCTCGTGGTTGAGAAAAGACGGCTCTACCTCCTGTGTTATGTCTGTCTTTGCACTGGAAGAAAGAGAAGCCAGGGGGCAGTTTGAAAGGAGCATTACCTGGGTCGGGAATGCAGAATTTTCCCAGCTTATGTCTTCATTTCTGGTCCCTCTAGTTACAAGGTAATATGGGGAAGCAACTCACTGTAGCTGGCTGGGCTCATTGACTCTGCACAAACCTGTGGCTTTATTAGCAAGTGTTTCTGTTGTCCATGGCTGCATAACAAACACTTCCTGAACTTAGTGGCTTAAAATCCCAGCAATTGACTCTTTCTCACAGCTGTGTGGGTTGGCTGAGCTTAGTTCTCATAACCTACATGGTGCAGCCATGTCACTCATGAAGCTGCCTGCAGCTGGGAGCTCAGCGGGGAACTTGACGGTGGCTGGAATGTTCAGGATGCCTCTCTTCATGCGTCTCTTCGGGGCATCTCATCATTCTGCAGTGGAGCCCAAGCTGGTTCACAGCATAGCGGCTGGTTTCCAAGGAGGCGGTGGTGGTGGGGGGATTGTTTTAAGAGAATGAGCCCCAGTATGCAAGTGCTTACCACGCCTCTGCCTGCATCACACTTGCTGGTGTCCTGTTGGTCAAAGCAAGTCCCTTACAGCCCAGCCCAGAGACAGTATGGGAGGTGTGGCTCACTGGGGGCCACCACCTACCACAGGAAGGAGAGACGGAGAGTGACTGTGGGGCTGGCAATAGGTACGTTTGCCACAGTGGGTTAGACCTCAGCAGTGTTTCCCAGACTGCAAATCTTGAGATCAGTTTAGTAGTTGACGGCCAGCATTAAAAAAAAGAAGAAATAGACTGTAGAGTATATACATGTGTGTACATAAATATATACGTTTGAGGCATGCATACAGATTAACATACACAATGAAAGATGTATTTTGCACTCAAGAGTCACAGTGAAAATAACCAGAAACACTGGGCTTGAACACCTCTGGTCCCCAATGCTATGATTCTATGGCAGAGCCTGGAGGTGAATGTCCGGCTGACCCCCTTCCGTGTAAGGAGCTGTGTGATGGGGACGTGTCCTGCCCCCAGGGGCTTAAATGCTGTAGCACCGGCTGTGGCCACTCCTGCCGTGGAGACATTAAGGGAGGTATGTTGGCTCCTTGGGGAAGAAGTCCTGAGTTCCAGGGTGGGATGGGGAGGGAGCCATCTCTGGCCTTCCTGTCTTTCCCTTTCTGGAGGGGGGTGGTGGTGAGAGTTCTCATGCTTCCTGTCCTCCTAGCCCCCCAGTCCAAAGCAACCCCTCTTTCTAGGGCCCAGGGGCCCATGTTGGCATTGAAAGAACTAGGGGAAGGCAGTGTGGGTTAGTAGGAAGGGTCCTGAGGCCGGAAGATGGGCAGCGTGGCTTCTGGGCTTCATTCTGCTGCCGACTGGCTCTGTGACCTCAGGGAAGCAAACTCCTCTCATTGAGCCAGCTTCTTCGTTTGTAAAGTGAGGGAGTTGCCCAAGATCAGGATTTTCTGACTGATTTCTTAGCAACACGTATGCAACAGATAAAAGTATTGCTGCTCTGATTTCTTTGTTTCTTCAATATATTAAAAAAAATTTTTTTTTTAACGTTTATTTTTGAGACAGAGAGAGACAGAGCATGAACGGGGGAGGGTCACAGAGAGAGGGAGACACAGAATCTGAAACAGGCTCCAGGCTCTGAGCTGTCAGCACAGAGCCCGACGCGGGGCTCGAACCCACGGACCGTGAGATCATGACCTGAGCCGAAGTCAGACGCTTAACCGACCGAGCCACCCAGGTGCCCCTCTTCAATATATTTTAAAAAACAAATACATCTGTTTGAATGCTCCTTTTGTACCAGACTGTAGAACTCCATTAAAAAATTTTTCTTTAAGTTTATTTATTTTGAGAGAGAGAGAGAGAGAGAGCGCGTGCACAAGTGCACAAGTTGGGGAGGAGCAGAGAGAGAGGGAGAGAGAGAGAATTCCAAGCAGGCTCTGCCCCGACAGTGCAGAGCCTGAAGTGAGCTTGATCTCACGACCACGAGATCATGACCTGAGCTGACATCAAGAGTTAGACGCTTAACTGACTGAAGCACCCACGTGGCCCTGTAGAACTCCATTTCAGAATCACTGGCTCAGATGTTGTTTTTAGACAACACGTGGATTCCCAGGCAGAGTTCAAGGTTCTGAAGACAGATTCTCTTCCTTATGTAGCTTAGAGTTTATCAGGGAAGGTAGACGGATCAGGCATCGTGATAAATTCTGATGAAAGGCACACAAAGCAGGGCACCAAACCTTGTCTGGGAGACAAGGCCTCCCTGAAGAAGTAACACTATAAGGCCCAGGTGTGGGGGAGAGAGTGGTGGTCTTGACAGACTCTGAGCAGCCTCGCCCACAGAGCCGTCAAGCCCCGAGGGACCACCATAGGGAAATCTGAGATGCCATTTGAAAACTATTGGTCCAGATGCTCTCTTGGGGACCTGCCTATTCTCAGAGGCTGTAGCTTCCTGGTTTCTCAGCCAGATGTTTGGTTAAGATCTAGTTACAGTCAGGGATGGATTCATCTGGAGCCTCTGAGTCTCAGTGCCAGTCGGAACGTGGAGTCCATGGAGTCGACTGTCCTGTCTCTTTACCTGTGCCTGTTTATCTCGCAGGGCGGAGTGGTGATTGTCCAAATATTTTGGTGGGCTTGTGCATCGTCAGTTGCATGACGGATGAGAACTGCCAGGCCGGGGAAAAGTGCTGCAAGTCAGGCTGCGGCCGCTTCTGTGTCCCACCAATTCTGCGAGCCGAACTGGCCACAAACCCCAGCTGGACTCTCAGGTCTGATTCTGAATTAGGTGAGTACAGCCTGTCATCGCTGAAAACAGCCAACTTAACTGCGAGGTGCCGAGCACTGGCTTAGGTGCCGGCAGGGGGCTTCAGAAGGTCGAGACAAAGTTCTTGCCCTGCAGAGGCTAGTTGGGAGAAAAAGGTCATGTGTCACAGATGAGAATCCTTGAATAGACGAGCTGGGGCTTCTAGGCTCTCTGTGTGGGAGTGGCTCCTTAGGAAGGTCTTTCTGCCAGAAGTGGGATCTGATCTGGGTCCTAAAGGCTAGGTGGGCAGTGACAGAGGGAGAATAGCACAGAGTACACGCTGGACAGCGAGTCTGGTGGTTAGCAGGCACAGAGGGTGGAATGTGTGTGACATGTTTGGGGAACTGGGTGGGGGTGGGGCAAGTGTGGGTGAAGGAACAGCTGGGCTGCTTTCATGCCAGGAGATATGAGGTTGGTATCTGAAGGAGTAGAGTCTTCAGCACCAGTTTGGACTGGATTATCTGGGAAGCAGGGCACCATTCGAGGCTTTGGGGAGCCACGTATGCCATGCTTCTCTAGGGTGTAGAAGGGAAACCTCTCTAGGGTAGAGGGGAGCTGGAGCCAGGAGGGCACAGTTGTGACCTGATGTTTCTTCTTTTTGCAGAGACCCGGGTGTCCTAGCTGTCCTGAGCTGCTACAGGGGGCTTGTTCTGGCTGCCAGGAGAGGGAGATATCCTGGGGCTGTGACCCTCCGGGGGGCTCTCACTGCCCTCCCTGCTCTGCTTCTGTTCCTGCTGCTGCCCTGAGCGTGGGAATATAGCCGTGGATTTGGGCAATGGTGTTCGGTGCTGCTTGTCCCCAGTAAAGGCTCATGCTGACCTTCTTGTCTGTGCTGTTTGAGGGCTAGGATGAGGAGAGAGAGCTAGGGGGTCTGAGCATGGCTGCAGGATTATGGCACCTTAGGCAATCCATCCTTTCTGAGAACACTGAAATGTTGCTGCTCAGGTGGCGAGGGCAGAGGAGGGTGGGAGCTCCAGAAGTCTCTCTCAAGCCTCAGGAGTGGGACCCTCAGGCCTCTTCTTGGGCCTGCTGACCTTTCTTTTATCAGAATGTGAGTTGGGCTTGGAACTGGTTTACTGCAGTCGTTTGGATGTTCCTACCTTGGACCTCCTTCCTTAGGGGCTGGCCCGTGGCTCCAAGACAGGCAGTAAGTCCCCTCCAGGTCACTTTGCTGTAGGGAGGAATTATCTTTAGGTGCTTGGAATCAAGATCAGTTTTTAAAAATTATATTTGTTAGAGGGCATCTGGGTGTCTCAGTCGGTTAAGCTTTGGACTTTGGCTCAGGTCATGATCTCGCTATTCCTGAGTTCGAGCCCTGTGTCGGGCTCTGTGTTGGGCTCAGAGCCTGGAGCCTGCTATGGATTCTCTCTCTCTCAAAAATAAACATTAAAAAAATTAAAAAAAATTATATTTGTTAGGTATACAAAATGGATCACATTCTATATCTTTGAGAAATTTATGTCCTCACATACACTCTTGTAATGGGACTCCATGAAAATAGCTAATTTAGCTAGTCAGCTCTTGTTGGACCTTAATCTGTGTACGTTTAATGTTGGCCTACTTTTGCAGGTAAATCTGGGGACAATTCTCAATAGTAGAATTCTAGGTTCTCAAATAGAGTCTGACAAAAAAGACACACACACACACAAAAAGCCCCTCAATGTTCATTGAATGAATAGAAGAATTTTTTGAGCTGCAAGTAATAGAAAACCCAACTAACAGTGGCTTAGCCAATAAAGACATTTAATTTTCTCACATCAGAGTCTGGAGAGAGGCAGTGAGGCTGGTTCGGCAGCTTACCCTCAACACCAATGCGCAGACTCATTCCTTCCTTCCCCACCAACCTCAGCATGCTGGCTTTTGTCCTCGAGAGGGTCACCTCACAGGTGTGGGATGGCTGCTGTAGCTCCAGACATCACAGCAGGAAGATGTAGTGGTGAAAAGACCTTCACCTCAGATGGTGCTCTCCTTTTAATGATGGAGACCATCTTCCCCAGAAGCCATCCCCTCCCCGGATTTCCCTTGTCCTCTCATCGGTCAGAACTGTTGCCACAAGGGAGGCCAGAAAAGCAAATGGGAATGGGAAAATGTGACTGTCTTTGATTAAACATGCTTCATCCTTGAGGCTGAGGGATGGCCCCATCTGTATATAAAAGCTGAGATTCTATTAGCAAGGAAGAAGGAGAGAATGACTTTGGGGTTAGGTGGGTAATGAACCACACATGTCATATTGGGTCAAAGGACACATGCATTCAAAATTTAGAAATTGCTAACGTAGGCAGGGCTTTTATAACAAGAAAAAAAGAGTATTAGTGCTCACCTTGAATATTGCAAAGATGTTTTTGTAATTCCCAAGTCTAGTGGAAAAAGGCAAGTTACAACTTAAGAAGAAAATTCCCATCACTGCTGTCTTTTTTGTTCCTCCCTTCCCTCTGTTTTCACACTGGCCTATGAAATTCCGGTTTCTGTATGATCCAAGCACTCTTCTCTCTGAGCAGACGTGTCCGTTGTTGCCTGATCTGAACAAGAGTAGATGGTGTGAGCCTGTCCATGGCCATCCCAGGGCTCCGGGCTCACAGCGCAGGGAACTAGGAGGACCCACAGGTGTCAGTGTGACAGGCTGCTTGACATTTTAGCAGGTTCCTCTTCCATTGTTTTGCTTGTCGTGTTATTGCTTATTAAAAAAATCAAAATAACACACACACACTTAAAAAAAAAAAACAATGTGGAGCAACTTTCAATGAAAAACAGCAG